AGGGTGGGAAGGCAGGGAGCCAGCCCCTCTTGCTACCTTTTCTCCATGTTCTGCATCTGCAAGCTGAGGGAGGTGAAGCTGGCCAGGAGGTCGGTCACCTCATCCACCTGCGGGACAAGATGAGGCTCTGTCACAGGTCCCAGGATAAGCCTGGTCTCCTTCCCAATACCACAGGCCTGGCGGGCAGGCCTCCCAAGGCATGTGGTGGCTTTGCTGTGACTATGGAACAGCTGCCCAAGGGTTAATCCTCAAAAGCAGGTGGTCTCAGACCACCCCAGAGAGAAGGGCCACCAGCAGCTTCAAAGGAAGTGGGCAGAGGCTTTGAGGTGCACAGCAGCTCACCTGCTCTCTGGTGCTAGTCATCTGGAGGCGGGTGCACAGGTCATCCAGCCGTTCCCGCTGCTCATGCCGCCCTAGGCGCTCCAGGTACTCCCTTAGCATCTGGATGATCTGAAAAGAGAGCGTGGGCTGGGCTGTGGGGTCCCAGCTAGGAGGCACAGAGAGGCCTGCTGCTGCTGCCAAGAGGCAGAGTACAGCAGGCGCCAACTGGGGTCAGTGTGAAGCGACCTGGGAGCCCTGGTGCTGGAGGTGAGGGTGTCTGTGGTGAGGGCAGCACCTGTCTAGTGCTTGCTCGGTGCCATGGGCTCAGCATGAGAGGGGCACTTACCTGCTTCACCTCCAGCCGCACAGCCTCCAGGCACTGGGAGTGGCCTTCCTGCAGGATGCTCAGCTTTGACTTGGCCAAGTGCAGGGGCGTGCGGCCAGCGCGGTCCAGGGCATCCACACGGGCCCCTGTGGGAGGAGGCAGAGGTGAGCATGCTGAGGGTGAGGGTGAGAGAGAGCAGGGAGAAGGGGAAGGTACCACATACCTCCTCGGAGCAGTGTGGTGATGACAGGAACATGGTTGGTGCAGGCCGCTGCGGAAGAACAGGGACTTAAAAGTGCAGGAGTGCCAGGGCTGAGCCCTGTACGCCTGCTGGAGGGAGCAGGGCTGTGCCTCTGAGTGTGCCTGGTCAGGTCATGCCGCCTGAGAAGGCATCACCAAGGCGGCAACTCAGTGGGACTCAGCAATCAAGTCTGGCTCCCTCCCTGTACCACTGGGGAAACTGAGGCTTAGAGATGGTACCTGCCTCACGTGAGCTACGGTGTGAGTCAGCCACAGGGCAGGAACCAGCTGGTCTCACCTCTCCTAGCAGAGCTGCCGCTGAGCCAATTTAGGTTGCTACATCAGCTCTGCTCAGGGCACAGCCAACTAGTGGTGGATAGGGAAATCCCTGGTGCACACACTGGGGGCTAAGGGTCTCCCTAGATGATAGGAGATCCTGCCTGGAGCCTGCAGGACCCCAGGCCCTTCATCAAAGGAGCCTGTCTGTGCTGCAGAAAAGGGTGTCTTGGCAGCTTTTCAGGTACTTACCCAGGTGCAGTGGCGTGTTCCCCAGCCCATCTCGCTGATTGGGATCGGCCCCATGGTCCAGAAGCAGCTGCACTGGAAATGGGAAAACCCAAGAGGAGCTGTCAGAGGCTTCTACGGACTGGACCCTGACCCTGACCCTTAATCTAGCTAAAGAGGCTCACTCAAAGTGTGGACACGGAAAGGAAACACGGTCCCTTACGTTGTTTCATTCACTCACTCACTCACTCACTCACTCACTCACTCACTCACACAGTTTACATGCGGGACTCTGAGGGCCCGGAACTGAGGGTGCCAGGAGAGTCTCCTGGCCTATGCAGGTGTTACAGAACTGAGAGTTTAAGAGTTAAAGAAAGCTCTTCCAACAGTAGTGGCTACTAGGGAAGATTCTCAGGAGCATGTTCTGCTCCTTTCACAGCCAAGTACCACAGTGGGAATTAGACAAATGGATGATGCTGAGTACCCCTTCCTTGAGGGTCTCTAGGCCACCTCAAGGGTGGGCTGTGGGATCACCAGGGCTCAACTATCCAGACAAATGTGCAGGCAAACTGACTCATAGTGGGGGCCAGGCTGAGTGTTACATCATATACAGAAACTAATTCAAGAGGGGCCACAGACCTAAAAATGAAAGCTCAGCCACGCTTGTAGAAGAAAACAGGAAACTATCTTCATGATCTTGGGATAGGCAAAGATTTCTTAGATAGGTCACAAAAATACTAACCATATAAAAGAAAAAGATTGATAAATTAAAATTTATAAAAACTTGTAGTCATCAAAGGACACCATTTAGAAAATAAAAGGCAAGATCAGGAAAGGTAAGTCATTTGTACTTGATAAATGACTTATAACCAGAATACATTGGCCTGGTAGCTCAGTTGGTAAGAGCTTCATCCAGACACGGCACCAAGGTTGCATCCAGTCAGGGCACAAATAAGAAGCAACCAATGAATGCATAAAGAAGTGGAAAAACAAATCAGTGTTTCTCTCTGTCTCTCTCTAAAATCAATCAATCAATTTTTTTTTTAAAGGATATATAAAGAATTTCTACAAATCAATAAAAGATAGGCAACTTGCTAAAAAAAGAATAGACAAGACTTGAACAGATACTCCACAAAAGAGGACATAAAAATGTCCAGTAAATACACGAAGATGTGCTCGACATTACTGGCTGTCAAAGAAATGCAAACTAAACCACAATGAGATACCACTGTATCAAAATTAAAAAGAGACAATACCAAGTACTGGCAAGAATGTGCGAATATCTGGAACTCTCTTGCAATGCTGGTGGTAGTGTGTATTGGCACCACCACCTTGGAAGAAGTTTGGTAGTACCTACTAAAGCTAAATGTATGCATACCTGTGACCCAACAGTTTCATTCCTGGGTTTGTATCTAATGTAGATAAGTGTTTATATCCACCAAGCCACATGTGTAAGAATGTTCATAGCAGCTTTATTCATAATAGCCCAAAACTGAGAAGAACACAAACGCCCATCAATAGTAGAGTGGGTGAACTGTCATACATCACACAATGAAATACTACCCAGCAATAAGAAAGAACATACAACACTTAGAAATGATTCTCAAGGATATAAATTTTTAAAATCCTCCCTGAGGATATGTTTTTATTGATTTTAGAAAGAGAGGAAGGAGAGAGAGAGAGAGAGATATCAATTTATTGTTTCCTATACATGCCCTGACTGGGAATTGAACCCACAACCTTTTGGTGTATAGGACAATGCTCCAAATGAGCCACCCGGTCAGGGAAAGGATATAATTTTGAGTGAAAAAAGTCAAGACACAAAAGAGTACATACTCTATGCCTCCATTTATGTGAAATTCAAAAACAGGCAAAACTAATCCTTGGTGAACAGGTCCATATGGGGTTAAGAACTGGGTGGGGCACTCAGGCTGTGGGGTTCTGAAAATATTCTATGTGAAATATTCTAAGTCACCCTGGCTGGTGTGGCTCAGTTGGTTGGAGTGCCGTCTGTACACCAAAGGGTTGTGGTTTCGATCCCTTGTGGGGGCACATGTGGAAAGCAACCGATCGACATGTCTCTCACATCAATGTTTTCTCTCTCTCTTCCTCTCCCTTCTTCTTTCTCTAGAATTACTGAAAAACATATTTTAGGGTGAAGAAAAAAAAGATTCTATGTCTCGATCCTGGCAGTGGTTACACCAGTGTAGGCATACAGAAAGTTCACTGTTTATAAGTTACACCACACCCAAAAAAGGCTCCTAAAAAAAGGACTGTCCCACTGCTGCTCTTGGCTCTGAGTAAATGTGGCCTGAATGTCTTCAAGGACTGGCCCCAGCCTCGGAGGCAATCATAGTCTTTCCCCAGGTTAACCCTTCCCCCAGTCTGGCAGTGCCAGACCCACAGGCTCAGGGAGTGAGAGGAGTGGGCACCTCCCCCAGCTGTACAGACAGCAGATCTTCTGGAGAGATGCTACTTGTCCAGCCGCGCCCTCTTCTCCCACTATAGGACTCACCGATTTGATCGTTGCCATTGCAGGAGGCGAAGTGTAGAGCTGTGCGGCCCTTGTCATCTGCCGCACAGGGATCTGCCCCATCTTCCAGCAGCTGCTGCACTGGTACCACCAAGACAGAGGGCAGCGGGGGAAAGAGTGGCAGTGTTAGCTATGCTGCAGTCCCAGGGGATGGAGAGGGATGCTCGGGGCCCTCCCAGGCAAGCCATGGTGATGCACAGGAGAGCCTGTTCCTCCTGGATACTTGCCCCATGGGGACTGCCATGATAGGGGCTTGTTCTCCTGAGAGCACACTGATAGCCACAGATTCTGGGTGCTCAAACTATTTGTCTAGGGACAGGGCATCGTAGAAGGATCCTGGCCCTTAAAGTCAGGAATTCTAGAGTCACAGAAATCCCCAGCACAGACTGGCCCCAAGCCACTACCTGAATTTTGATACACACCCACTCCAGCTGGACACAGCTGCCCAAGCTGTTGGTCAATGCTTACTTTGCGCCCAGGACGCAGCCCTTTAGAGTGGACAGAGCACAGGTTCTGGAGCCACACAGACTAAATCCCAGGTTAAGCTAAGCTAAAAAGAATGAAGTACATTGCCAGTAGCATGGGGCAGTGGAAAGAGCTGGGCTGGGAGTAAGATTTGGGCCCCAATGCACCACCAAATGGGAGTAATCTCTTCCCTGCCAAGCTCCAGAGCTGCTGTGGTGAGAATAATGAATGTGAAATTCCTTCTCTGAAAAGTACGGAGCCATTACAAAATGTGAGGCATTATGTGTTACATGCACAAGTCCAACTAAAATGTAGAAATTGCTGCCCACTTGAGGTAAGCAGAAGAAGGGCTCCCAAAGATGACATGCCCTTATACATTTGTGTTGTTTATACCACTATGTTTGTGGTAATTTGCTACAGCAGCCATAGGAACGAACGGACCACTTTCCCCTAATTCCCAGAAAGAATTAATTGGATAAAATTAACTTTTTTCCTCTAACTTGTCCTTGTACCTTTGATACTGCTACTGCCCTATCAGCTAGTGAACGCTAGAGAGCAATGACAAAAAAACCAGGGTGGTGTCCTGCTAGAAGCCCCTCCCATGCTGTCTAGATGTCCTGCCAAAAAATAAGTTTGAGAACCAGTGACCCAGCTACCACAAAGGTGCAGTGAACAGCTGAAGGTGGTTGCTCTGTGCAGATGGTCGCTCTCCTGGCAGCTAAAATTGACTGTTCGTTCCCAAAAGTCTAATCTGTTGGGTGTCAGGGATACAAAAGCAGGCGTGGTCCCCACCATCAAGGAGTCCACAGGGTGATAAACCCTTAGACATCAGGAAGTTTACGGTGACAGGGAAGCATGGGAACAGTGAGCACCTTCGCCAGACAAATCTTCTGCAAGATGACTGCAGTAATATAATATCTACAGTAAGCATGGTCCACAGGGTGAGCTGTCAGACTGAATGAATTCAAGCACCATCTTCCCAGGTATTGGTTACCTGGATTTCTCCTTCCCTAACCATCCCACGGAGCTGGATCAGCTTTGCACACTCACCTGTTTCCACATCGTTGGCATTGGCCGAGTCCCTCAGCCTCTTCAGAGCTGTGAAGAGAGCAAGAGTGCAGGTTAAAAAAACACACAACAGCAGCAGCCATGAGGAAGCAGAAAGTGGACGGCTTCCTAGTTAACCCACCATTCAGCCACAGTAGCACCTAGAGGGAAAGAAAGGTGCCAGGATACAAGAGCCACTACCCGGAACAAGGAGAAACTTGAAATGTGGCACAACTAGTGCAAAAGTCACATTCTGTTGCAAATCCTCCAAGGCCTTTGGAGCCAGAGCCAGATCTTGAATCTGCCACTTGTAGCTGGGTGACTTAAGCGGGTTAGTTAACCCAGCTCAGGTCTGTCATTCACAAAACAAGGTCGAGCCCTGTCCTGACAGCCCTGAGTTGTTGCAAAGACAAAATGAGATGTTTACATGGAAGCTCTCTGTGAACAGGTTACACAGAGAGTCTTATATTCTCCTTCAAAATAGGCCATTCCCAAATGACTGACTTAAATCTGGTAATTCCTCAGCAGAAGCATCTTCTTCAATCAAACTACCTCTATATAAGAGGCTAATAAGAAGCAATGCCAACTCAAAAATTGCAACTCAGATACATAATAATTCCTTATATTCATAGAGTACTTTGTGGATTATATACTACTCTCAAATTCTCATTTAATCTTTATAACATCACTGGACATAAGTGGGATCACACGGACAGTACTAGAAGGGACCCTAAAAGTCTCCATTCTTGTATCTTTCAGGGCGTTGGTTTCCATGTCACCCACAAATTGTAAAGACCATAGGGCAGACCTATCAGAGCAGGAGTTTGTCTGGTAGAGCTCTAGCTACGTGACTTGGAGCAATGTACTTTCTCCGAGCCTGTTTCCTCTTCCATAAAATGGGATCAGTATCTGAATCTCAATGAGTTACTACCGTGAGGATTAGAAATGATCACAACAGCCCGGCCAGGCGTGGCTCAGCAGTTGAGCATAGACCTAGGATCCAGGAGGTAGGGGTTCGATTCCCGGTCAGGGCACTTGCCTGGGTTGCGGGCTAGGTAGCCAATCAATGACTCTCTCATCATTGATGTTTCTCTCTCTCTCTCTCCCCTTCCTTTCCTCTCTCTGAAATCAATAAAGATGTGTTAAAAAAAAAAAAAAAAAGAAAGAAATGATCACAACAGTGTTTGGCACACAACAAAAGCAGATTAATAGCTATACATACATTACCTTACTTAACTTTCCCCAAATCTCTGTAAAGCAGGTACTGTACTCATTTTACAGATGAGAAAACTAAGGCTGAATGAGGCAGAGGAGCCCAAGCCAGGCCTGCGCACTGAAACAAGCTGGTAGGACTTGGCTATAGGCTCTGGCCGCCCCTCTCTGACAGTAGAGGTATTCCGCAGTACCCCACTTTCTTATCTACTAATAAACACCTGGAGTCATGGAAAGTTTCTATTCAGGAATTATCAAGTGTGAAAAGCCTAGGGTGACTGGCTCTGAGCAGGAAGAGTATTTTTTCTTCACATCCATGGTCCTTAGCAGACATACGTAATAATTATTACTACCGAAAGGAGATTCGGGGGTCACTCTGGGCC